GCCGTCGACGTTGACGCGCTGCCGATGTTAAGTATACAAGAACACGAGTCAAAGAATTTAGACGTACTTAAGATAGTTTCTAATTATAATAGTACACTAAAAAATAAAAAAAAGCTAAAAATAATAGTATTAGGTGCATCGAATAACTGAGGAAACTGATCGTTGGTCCCCTGGTCTTGTAACGACGCTAATGTCTGTTTAACAATAAGTCACAAGATGAATTCTAATCCTGGAAGAAATCATTTCAATATGTAGAAAGTATTGTATTGAATTGCGTTACTCCAACATAAGGAGTGTATGCTCTTCTTGTTCTGACTAATCCTTTCTTGTGACGTAAAGAATCTATATATTTTTTTTATGGCTTCAAATGTTTTTTATTTTTTTTTTTCTAGCACCTCCCTTATCTAATCATTTTCGTTAGGGTCTTCGTTACCGTCACATAGGGAAGGTACCGGTTTTTATTATTACGGAGTCACGTAAGTCTACGACGGTGTTAATGTAAAAGCTAACGTGAATAAAGTACTACCGGTCCGGTTCAGTGGAACGTAATTACTTTCATTACCGTTATTATTACGAGTTCTTTTCTTCATCCTGGATCAAAAGTCAATTGTATCTCATTTCTAGCAGGAGGCAGCAAAAGTTGCAGGAGCTCATTAGCTGGAATTTGGAAATGAAGTTTCAGGAATCGCAGCAGGTAGAGATAAAGAAGAGAAAGTTCTTTAATAAGGCCGACCAACTTAAATTCTTAGTGGTGGCATAATTTTCAGTTCTAGGAAAAAAACTATCTTTTTCGTTTCTGAGAACCGAATGAGTTCGTTATCATATCGTAAATTCTGTCTTCCTAGCTATATAATATCCGAGTTCTTCAACCGGACCGAGTTGTCGCGACTTTGCTCTATGACCCCTAAAACCCACTTTCTACTTGCGTTTCATTCCTGTCGTGTTCCTATAATTGCATACTGCAGCAATGCTGACTTCCTTGAAATTGACAGAGAGGGTACTCGGCTTCCTCCCTAGTAGCATAGTAGTTTGTACATTTTTACATGCAATTATACAGGTTCTTTTTTTTTTAATTGACACATGGAAATATTTCGAGAGCCACGCATTTTAAAAGAAGACAGTTTCAAATAAAATCTTTATCGGTTCAAAGGCGGGAAATAATGGTGACACTTATTCTTAATTTGGCGAAGGTTTTCAACATCATTTCAAGGTCAACTGTTATTTTTATTTTTTTTATAAGAAGTCATATATTTTACATTGCAATAAATTTCTACGTATAAAGGTACGACATTTTTATCTGAATTTTATATTCGTTCCAGTTCAAGCTTTCAATAGTATTTTCAAGTTTTAGTTTTGGTATCCAAATAGTAACCATAAGTGATATTCTTTGTCAAAAAGTTGATTTTGTACAAGGTCGACTCGTTTTATAATATGATATTGTCATGTCAACTTCTTTGTGAATGATAAGTAGAGGTACAGGTTCCCATTTTATTTGTAGACGGTGAAGATAAGATGGAAAATAGATTTTTTCTATTTATGAGGTTAGATTTTATTTCACTCTAAAACAACATGATAATAACGACGGTGCAATTTAAATTGATCCGTATTACTAGTGTTATATAATAATGTGGCCTTATCCTTCTAGTCCCTTTCACATTTTATTTAGTAAGAATAACGCGTAACGCCCCCACTGTACATCGTTCTCATTATTATCCTCGCAGCAGTCCGTAATTTAATGGATTCAATATCTCCAAATCCGACAGACCATCCACAATGCGGTATTATCCTTTAACACAGATAAATCGAGCATCCTTCGGAACGGACGACGAGCACTAGTAATTTACCATACCTCCTGGAACTAACGCCAAAATTGCTCTGTGTACTCGTTCCTACCTCTTTTTACCACGTACATTGTTTCGCGTAATTATTCAGAGTTCATTGCGAAATCTGAAAAGGCAGGATGCATCGTCACGAAATAATTGCCATAATTTTAAAGTGCAAGCACATCTGTCCGGGTAAAAAGTGCCTTTCTGGTAATTAACTAATTTTTCCCTTTCGCCAATTCTGTCTTCCTCTCCCGTCCTTATCCTGAAATTTCTTCTCCACGAATTTCGCAATCTTTGCCAGGTATGCTTTTGGGGCGAACAACGTGTAATTGTTTTATTAAAATTCCTAAAATTTGCAGGTATTCTTGTATCAACATTGTGGAGTATCAAATATATATATATAAGTATATACGTGTAGTAATGTGTGTAATATCAAGGGATGTGCTGAGGAGTAAAAATGGTATCCTGGGTAATGTAATAGAGAAATTTATGTATGTTAAGTCGAATACTATATTATGGCTAATATGGCGAAGCGCCTGGAGGTTTCGGGTTCTCGAGTGAAAGGCGTAATCGATTTGGTTTCACAACAGGAAAAAAGAGAACATTAAAAGTAGGAGAAAAAGCGATGCGATGCAAATTATCGCGAAGATTTCAACACTTTATATATATGTTGTGCAGACCTCCGTCTGTGCGTGGTTAATTTAATTAGTACATCCGCGAACAATATTGCAAGTTAACGCGAAAGAGAAATGTCGATGGTTACACTCAAGACTGGTTATTTATTAGATCGTTTCGCAATCATATGACACATGGCAGCGAAAGTGTGAGTCAAGTTTAACTTATCGTAATGAGTTATAATTCTTAGATTGAAGCTTCCGGTTAAAAATCTTAGATTTCTCTAATTAAATATTTCAACACATTCGTTACGTTAGGTCAAGTTACACGACTTTAAAGAAGGGACAATTTGTCGAATAAGAATGTTTTTGTGCAAATAAATTGTAACTTATTTGATGATTGTATGACAGTTTTTGTTCATTTTTATAGATACTATAAATTAATATCTAAATTCATGTCGCCATTGCATGCCAATAATTTAATTTATTTTCTGTGGGCTTATAGAACTTTCGGTTTTATAATTCGACATAAATAATGAAGGTGATATTCTAGGTATAATGAAAAATGATGGTTAGTGTAATATTGTCACATAATACTGACAATTGTGGGAAAGTAAACCACATTCCACATTGCATTAAAGTATGGTGATTTGTAGAATAATACTTTTAGGTAATCGTTAAAGGGCTCAAGGTAGCCTACTTTTGACCACATACATTGAGCTAGGATAAGTGTCTCATGTCACAATGTACACGTGACGAAAGATATGGTTGTTATATTGGCTAGACGAAGTCTATGAAAAATAAAATCTTTTTAATGCCGATTATTACGATTCTTCTCCGTTAGGGCTTCATTATTTATCCCCGTAACCTTCTGATTGGTTAATATTTTGAGAAATTATTACGAACAATATTTTTCAAGTCTTTTCTCTAAACAATTGACCTCTATTCACAATTATTGCTCGGAGCATAATTACAGTTATACAATTTAATTGCTTATCGTCATCTATGACGATCCCAGTCTTCTTATCACTAAATAATTCATCATTGGGGAATGCACCCACGATGCTACCAGTAGTGACCTTCTTAAATAAAATAATTGAATGAAAATAGATATAGTAAAAAATATAACTTTATAATGAGGATGAAGAACGAGAGGATCTATAAATTTCAATCTCGGAGTAAATTTGTTTTAAACAGAAAACTATATTTTTTATTCTACCCCAGATTTGTTTGTGTTTTCATTTGAATGACATGAGTATCCCAGGCAACCCATGAAGTGGAATATACGTAAATTAATTGTCAAAATTAGGTCCACAGGTATAGCAAATGTATATCGTCTATTATCCACCCAAAAAAATATCTAAAGGATATGTATAAATATCTATGTCTATTGTAGATAAAAATTAATTTACAAATATTCCACATTCCGCGGTGCTTAGGATTGCTCGTTATAAAATAAATGCTTGCGTAACACTTAGTTAAACATTCTAAAACCCGTTACAAATGATGTAAATACAGGAACGGAGTAATGAAGAAAGAAAAAAAGATATGATTCATGTATAATAATATTTACTTTCATAAAACTAGTTCACGTCCTTGATCTAGATGCACATATTAACACAACTATGAAATGGGGAAATATTTTTGACACCTCTGTGACCACGATTCAACTATCTTAAGAAAAGCAGACACTTCCCAGACACGAGATTTTCGAAAGGAAAACCAGTCATTTGTAAGACTACTTTTTGCAAAATCGGATATGTGAGACCTCTACCAAGGCCGTCCCTTACAATGTATTGTGCGAGTACAAAAATAACAATATGCGTCGATACAAGATATAATTCCATCGAATCAATATGGTGGCGGGTACAGGTCGTGGAGTTTAATGTTAAGGAGAAAGTAAGGACGATAGATTTATTTGGTCTAACACTATGCACGCACGATTCAAATGCTACATCTGAGATCGATCTTACGTAAACATTTTGTGGGAAACGCACACACACTCACTAGAAAGTACGGATCAACCTCCGCTTTTCTCAAGTTCCTGTTAGTAACTTCCTCGATACATAACTTACGCCATGTTTCAAGATACGTAACGTCGGAATAAGATATGCTAACTTATGCAAAGGCGGATCCAAATGCCATCCTACAACCAATATCAAACTTCATTATAATCTCCGTCCATATTGTTGTAGATATTTTTTATTCAGCTTGTCGCCTAGAATTCCTCCGATACTTTTCCGTATTCCGATACCTTGTGTTCAGGTTGTAACTTTCTACGTGTTTACCTTCCTCGATAATATAAACTTCTGAGGTTATTTGGAAACTTCCAGTTCGACCTGTTTCAACGGCTTTTTTTGAAAACTTTGAACAGCATAAATGGCGCGGCCATGCCGGATTTCCGGTATCTTGCAGAAATCGCGTTGTAAGTGGTTATGCACGATTTCTACCTCATGATATGCGTCAGAAGTGGCGATACTTTTTATTAACCCTCCTGGACCATTCATACTGTTTCCGTATGGTTGCTGTTGGATTCCGGTGTCGATGCGATAAAATTCCTTTTATTTTTTAACTGCTTTACAACTTTGAATCCGGTAAGGACGGTAGGTCGACGCTTCTAGAGGTGTCTGCTTTATATACGCTAATGAAGCAAACGGGTTAATTGTTCGAGTCAACTCACGTGACATTTACTGTGGAGGAAATACTACCTTTATCAAAGAATTACGTCATATATGTGAGTTTAACATGTAGGCATGTATGTTCGCGTCACCTGCAATTTCGTGTACTGGTCAATTCAAATCCTAAGATACTTTGTTTAGAAAACTCTCTTGATCAAGAATGCTTACCGAGACTTTCTTCGAAACTTTCTTCGCATGGGATAGGCGAGACGCCATTTGCTGGAAGATGCACTCCAGCAAATTTCTCCACTGATGCGTGAAATCAAAGCATCTCACCGAAATTTAAGTCCGCATCTAATAAACTCACCTAGAATTTACCGTACCCGTAAATTAAATAGTTCCAGTGTCGTTCCGTCCACTGTTCGCAGGGACCGTCTTGGTCTAGCCGTATAAATTGTTTAGGCAATGCTCATATCTTCTAAACATGCTCGCTTTACCTGCCCCATGATTCTGGAAATAGGCCCGCCCAAGGACCTCCGATCATTTTGCCTTTGTCTCTTCGAAAAATTTCCTTCAAGTATAACCTAAATGAAACCGTGTCTTACCAAAAAGAACGCTTCCGATTTTCAAGAAAGCACCAAGCAATCGTTCCCCTAAAACAATAAACAATTTCTTTACGTTCCAATACCGTTATATTCTCCAAGTAGCCATTTATTTGAATAACTATATCATTTTTTCATCGCGCATGTGCGGCAGCTTTCTAACATCGGGTCGAATGTTTAACGGCTTCCAAACTTTCTTCGAGGCGTCTCGAGCGGCGCGCAAACTCGAGGAACGCGCGTTAGGCGTCGAGCTATCGCGAGTCGAAGTCGATTCTCGGTCGAGCGAGTGCGAGTCCCAGCGCGCGTGGACTCCGGGTGAAATTGATGCCGCTGCGGTGAATTCCGGCTGGAAGACGTCTCCCGACTTCCGCCACCTTGTAGTCAGCCATTGGGACGTGGCGGCACCGAGTCGACCTCTCTTCGGCCGCGGAACTCCTCGCCAAATTTTTCCACCGCGAAACGAGATCTCCGCGAGAAACTCGCTCTTGTGGGTCGAAAGTCCGGCGTCCGCGTGTGCGCGCGTCGGTGTAAAAGTGTCGAGTGCCCGAGCGCCCCGTGTTGGCGCAGCCGGTATAGTAGTGCCCTAGTTACCGATCTCGCCCATGACTCGTCGAGCCACTTGAGTACAGCTCCGTCGACCCGCGAAACTTTGCGAGTTCGTTCGACTGCCGGCTACCCCGGTAAGCCCGCCTAGACAAGATATTATTCTTGCATTATTTATGGACATGTTTAATACTGAATTTTTCGACAGCCTAGCAGTACACGGCAGGATGATGCGTTGTTTATGGGCCGTAATGCCCGACCTTTGAAACCAGGATCGATAGTTAATCTTTTAAGGGCTTCTTGCACCAACGTTCGAGGAAAAATCCGTAATTCAGGATTACTTAACGCGGGATTAAAGTTAATCGTCCAACATTTGGTAGTTATATAACGGTGGATTTTAATCTTTGGTTAGTTTACTTTTATCGCTGCTGCGGGAATTTCACTAATCCGAGATTAATTAATCATATTTAAGAAATTTCACGATAGTCACGGTTGGTGCACCTGGCCGAAGGGTTGGAACGATCTAAATGATTTTTACCGAAATTAAAGTAATGGCGCAGAGAGTACGTTGTAGGTGCGTCCTGTTTGAATAATATGATCAAATGTACTAATGAATTAGATATTTTGTTAAGTACGCATTTAATTTATGTTATGATGTGGTATGCATATTAATTCAATGTAAATTGACGGTATGGTACGGGTGTTTTCTGCAACGATCGGTCGCAATAAGAAAATTCACTTTTTGAACTTACTTTAAACAAACGAATGGTTTAGTCAAAAGACTTCGGTGAATGTTTCAAGAGTTAGAATGCGTTATTATATAGTATATATACTTCTTTATACAGTTATACGTGATATTAGACAGTATTGGTACCATGTGACCTACTTACTGGGAAGCATCGTAAATTCCGTTTTCTCTGATTTACTGGCACTTTGTAAACGTCTGAAATATGCGCCGAGATACCCTACCAGCAATAACTGGACTTAATTCTATTTAATGTATTGGGAACAATTTCAAAACGTGTCCATAATATTGGCTAACTGCGTGATATCATCAATTGAAACGGTTGTATTTACCGATGTACATGAATGCCTCCCCTGCAGATACGGCATCGCCTGTGCAGGATGGGAGGGCATTGATGTCTCCCGGTGTACGTGTAAGAATACTTCGAAAATGGTTACAGGCTAAAATACACAGAGGGTAAATTTCTTCTTATTAATATAACGAATAAGAATTATTTTTTACTACGAAACATCACTTTTTATTTACGACTCTAACGTCTGACATGCAAATGAAAAATTGCAATTATTTGACATTAACTTATTTTTCAGTTGACTCCCAGATTTCTTTAATTTTTACATCCCTTACATTTACTGCAGATTTCCTATTACCAGTGTCAGATCATGCTAAACAATAATAAGAATAATTATACGCGTATCACAAGTTCCTGTTGTAAACGTTGATTTTTTCATAATTTGAAGCAGAAATCCTGGTTGCTTTCAAGCGAATGAGAAATCTTCTCGGGTGTCTGGCATATATACTGCCGTTCATAAAAATCAAGTCACAAAGTCTCTTCTAGGCAATTAGATTTTAATCGATACTTCTCGGTGCGTCTACCGCAATCTCAGGAAAGTGCTTCGAGAATACCCTCCTGGTTTGCAATTTTATCCCTTTTTCATCTATGAAACATCGTTCATTTCAACATCTGCGAAGAATCGAATGTCCGCGAAGAATCTGATATTGCTAAGGGGTTACGTAAAATATCGCTCGTGAGCGTCGGCGAAGGTGAGTTAAAAAGGTCATTTTTCTCAGAGAAAGGATCCGGCCGCCATTCGCGCCCGGTCCTTTCTTTTCGGCGTCGAAAGTGTGGATTCCTTGACATTTCTCTGCTCCTTCCTGGAGAAGGCGGGATAAATGGAACCGGTCCAGCGCGTTACGTCAAACCATCGCTTGCAAACGCTCCTCTTGCCCACTGTTTTTTTTTTTTTTCTTTAATCGAAGGAGAAGGTTTTTTCGAAAGCGAATCCACCTTTCTACGCGCAACTTGCACTTTCGACCAAGGCCACTGAAACTTTCGATCTAGGTCGTTCACTCACTCAATTTTCGCCAGACCAGTGAGAGGAACAATCATCGTCGATCGAGTTCGATATTTCCTTCACCACGTTCAAAATGGCGTCCGATAAGCGGATAAATCATCTAGAATTTTTTAATTGGACCACGATTAATTTATGTAAACGGTAATAATGTGTGAAACGACCGGTAAATCATCATGATTACTATTCTCTAAAATCTGTCTTTGGATTTAGTTTCTCAAACTACCCTAGTAGCACAAAATTTTTCTCCTATATTTTGTACTTATTTAACGAATATCGTACATCTTGTAAATATTTACCAGACATTTGAAATATTTGCCAAACGTTTACTTTGGAATATTATCCTTATAATATTTATATAATATTTGCTCCACGTGTTTTCATAATATCTTTCTACCAGATATACAAAACATTTCGTTTCATTTTAATACAAGTATTTTTTAAATATTATCCGCCGAATAGATTATAAACGTTTTAAAAATACTTAAAATCAAAGTCACACGTTTTGCTCCCATAATAAAATAGCGGGACGAAAATATTAGAAAAATTTCTCGTGTTTTTTTATATCAAATGAAGTGTCCGATATTAGTCTTGAAGTAAAAAACGTATTTTTATTACATGTTGATAAATGAAAAAAATATAATTTCTATATATTTTTATAAATTATTGAAACTAAATATGTCATTGAGATTTTCAACAAATATTTCAGGTATCTTCGAACGAAATCTACAAGAAATCTTAAAAAATCTGTCGTTTGAGATATTTAGCAAAGATTATAAACAAATATTTAGAAATTATTCTACGCTGCTAGGGTAGTTGGTATTTCTTTAGACCGGCCAGAATGTTATCGATAACGCTGAATATAAATATATTTAATCCATCTTTGTTCGACCGAAAAAGAAATTATATCTTTATTCAAGTGAAAGTTATTCCGATTAAATACCTTGCTTGGCAAGTATTATGGAAATAGAGAATTTATTGGTACCATTTTCTTTATAATTTCTGCCCATAATTATCGAATTTGCTTGAAAGGAAGTGCTAGTAATTTTAGGAATCATTTATAGATACTTTTCGATTATGTATCAAGTGCTCCAATAATTGCATTTTCTTTCAGAATCTTGTTATTAAAAGAGTTAAAGTGTCACAGTAATATGTGGTCGTTAAAATAGAGGGTGTTGCAAAAGGTGGACCCAATTTTAAAACATTTTTCGAAAGAAAATCAAGTCCAGCATTTTGCGATACCCTGTACCAAAAAGTAATTGTAGATGCGTTTCTTAGTATTACCTTCGTGACAATTCCACAATTAAGTGTCGGTTGATCGAATTCGTTGATAAAGTAGTCCATATTTTCATTGATTGCCGTAATATAGAGTAAGAATGAAAGGCGCGTCATATAAAAAAAGGAAAACGGTGGTTGCGTCCATTACATGATTACAAAAGTGAACCCCAAGCTGTTCTAGAAGCAAAGGTGATGATCGTTCAAGCTTGACAAGAAATCAGCCGGATCTTGCGAAAGAAGGGAATGAAGAAAAAGAGTTAACAAAAAGGACAAAATCGCATACGGTTGATTATTAAAATCCCCGACTGCATTAAAAGCGGAATCATATGCGAATATATACATATGTTTAAAGGTCATGGTGGAAGATTGACAAGAAGGAAATTTTTAATAGACATGGTAAATGTAAAAGGAATCAAAAATAATAATAGAGTATTAAAAATTAAATAGGTATCCATACGTATTTTGTTAAATAAAATTAATTTGTACCGCCACAGTAATTTTCATATTTTTTTAATATAGATCATTTGATATCGCCGTTTACTCAATTAAGTTTCTCGAAATTTGTGTTCTTTTTTATGTTTAATTAATACGAATTGTTCGAGGATTAAGACATCTTTGATGGGATACATGCAACTAGTAACATTGTCATCAATAAGCAGTCAGGATAAAATTGGCTGATGAATATGTAACTGCATTTTGTATGACCCTTTGCAAATTTCTGCCATATTATTTTCTAACAAAATATTATTAGGTATTTTGCAATATCTTACGGTGCATAAACCATGACTGATTAAATGTAGTTATCCTATTGTTAAGTTTATATGAAGTGAGTAACTGGATTAAACAATCATGGAGAAAAAAATAGCGAAAACTATGTTCCATTTCATGCATATACATAGTACAGTCATTGCATATATATCCGAGTGCCGGATGTGGTGGACACTTTTTTTTCTCAATTTCTCATGACCCCGACAATTCTCGAAACAAGTTTAACTTTCGATTCCTCGCACGCTCGAATCTCCTCTTGCGTAAAGATTCACTTTCGGGATCATAAGAAGTCGATGCTCTTTCATCCTAGGAAAGTTACCGAAACGAGTTCTAGCAAATATGTCACTAGTAACATTTTTTATAAAAAATATCAATATACTCGAAAATATTTTATTAATATTTTATTAATATTTTATTAATATTTTGTATGATCACATTGTTTAAGACCAGGAACTGACATATATCTAATGCAAAAT